TATATATATATATATATATATATATGTAATATTGTATATATTATATTTTATACATATATTGTTTGACAGTTTGAAATAGGAATATGCATTATCCGCAGTGGGATTTGATTAGATAACGAAATCTTCTCTACCGACTGAATAGCGATTATAACTAGTTCGATATTCGATTTCACTAGAGGCCCGCATCATGTCCAAAGCAGAAGTGATGAAAAGTGATGTCAAAAGATTAGTCATGGTGGACTAGTTACATACTTTCAAAATGAGTTCGAAAAATGAGGAAGTTGACATGGAATTTTCGTTTATTAAAGAGGATAGCGTAAGTCAACAGGAGAAAGTGAAGGCATTCTGGAAGTTTCTGGATACTCAGAATTTGCATCTGCAAAAAGGTAATGAAAAATATGAATTTATGTTATCAATTCGCTAAGAATATTTTTCTTTCGTTTTATACTACGAAACATTCTTTCATACTATCTGAAATACTGAAATCTTGCACATCTTATAAGATATATTTGTTAATATAATATAATATTATATTATCATAAGCATGTTTATTGTATAATAATGTTGTAACACAATAAAAAAAATAATAAGTTAGAATAATTTAATATCACAAATTAAATTAAAAATTCATATTTTTATGTCACAAAAGCCATAGTACATAAAATCACTTAAGTTGTACACAGCACAGAAGTTTATAGCAACATTGCTGCAATGTTGCTGGAATGATATTCTGTGCTGTATAAGACACAATAAATTAAATTGATCATCAATTTAATAATGATACTAATAAGCATTTTAAAACATTGCATAGAATTAATTTTATTTTTATTAAATTACATAAAAAATAAAATTCTATAAAAGTAATCAATGTCTAGCATTTGATTGAGATAAGATTTTGACGCGAAGGTATATTGGAGTGTGAATCGCCATCAGAAACGTCGGTATCGAGCGTGGAAGAAATTATGAAGGAGAAGGATATTTGGCGCAAAGGATTGCAAGTCTTCCAACAACTCGGTCTAGATAAAACCGCTCTCGCAACTGATAACAGATGCGGATTCTGCAGCTTTGCTCATAAAACAAAGTTCCAGTATGGTTAGCAGAACGTTTCGATAGAACGTTAGATAAATCAGTACTTTTCCCGATAATCACAGATACGAAGATCTGGCCGACACGGTGACGCAGCCATATGAGGAATTGAACGCTGACATAGAAGCCTTCGAGCAGCGTCAAAAAAACCGTGACTTGATCCTTACTCAGCGTGAAGCATTTTATGCTGCCGACAAATCAAATTGCAACTCCAATGTAAAAAAATCTAATTTGAGTGACTGACATCTTAAGGCAGTCTTTTTTTCAACTCGCAAACCGTTTCCATTCGAGTTCCAATTCGTCAATCGATTTCTAAAAATTCAAATTTATTAGTTTAACAAATTGCATGTATATTTATGAAAATAATAAATCAATTTTTTATCTCTCTAGAAATATTCTATTATATATATATATATATTGTGTGTGTGTGTGTGTGTGTGTGCGTGCGTGCGTGCGTGCGTGCGTGTGTGTGTGTGCGTGCGTGCGTTGTGTGTGTGTGTGTGTGTGTGTGTGTGTGTGTGTGTGTGTGTGTGTGTGTGTGTGTATAAAGTAATAATAACATTTAGCTCGGCAAGACTGAGAAGAGTACACTGTTACTGAAATATGATTGATTCAAAGAGAGCTCGATAAATTTATATAATTCCGCACTAAGAGAAAAAGTATTATGCCTATAATTGCATGATAAAATAATTATGATTAGAAAGTCACTTTTTATTACTGTTACAACGTTAATAATAATAATTATATTATTTGTTTATAATTCTAGAAATAAATATAGTTGACACTGAAAATAATTATATAAATTGTAGAGTTAAGTTATGGTAATTGTAATCATTTTTTTTCTCTTAGTATGTTACACATTTAAAAAATTTTTCATGGTATTAGTACTGATTGGTATTGGTACTGATTGAACAATAAATATCTTTTTTTTATTAATTTTATTGTTTATTAGTTTCTTATTTATAGGAAAGAGAGAAAAAGGAAACAAAAAATGCTCTTAGCTGAATACGTTGTCTTAGAGAGAACGTATAAAAGAGCTGAAATTTAAGAAATTTGAGTCAATAAAACGTGTGGATGATATAACAGACGTATAAAAAATGCTTTGGTGACACAGTGATCGCACCGACTGCGCGCTTTTGAACTGCCGTCGAAGGCAGCGATACCAATCGACGTAATCGATGGCAGGAGAATTACAGCGTTTACAATGCCACACGAGGGCCAGCTTTCGGCGAAGGTTGTCAGTCGTTTAATGGAATTGGAACGAGCCGGAATATGGATGAGGTAGGGTAGCGCACATCCCGAGAGGTACCATGTACCGGTGGTGTATCGGATTTCCTTAGTCCAGGAGGTCGACGTTGTTTCGAGCAAGGTGCGCCGCCACGGGAGCTACCTATGAATGGACCGGCGGATTCTGAATCCTTACGCGACATCTGGTCTCCTGGGCCAACGACATCGTCTTCTTATTGTTAGCCGTTTGTGCAAGCGGGATACTTTGCGCCAATCGAGAATATCGCTCGATTTCCTTCTACAATCGAGAGGCAATCCACCTTTTTAAGGATTTTAAGGACATTGATTTAAATCGAATTTACTCGATAAGTCCTCAAAGAAGCTAATCGAACTAGATTTTTCAAGTTGCAGCATCTCAGTGCTGTTTTTAAAATGATAATATTACAAAAAAACGCAACATGTGCATATTGTTATAAAATTGTTAAATAAAATATAATATCTTTTCTGATTTTACGATTGAATCGCTGTTGAAAAATTCCAATAATAATGTTCATCTATAAAAGTATAATATTCTACTTTATTTTATTTTATTTATTACGTAACTCATACGCGTGCGAGTTATATAATTATAATTGGCATCGAATATAGGTGGCAAAAATTTATTTAGTTTCATGCAAATATGTCGCTCGATATCTATATACATGTGTTTTATAAGAAAAAAGAAGTAGCAATGGCTGCGTTTATCAGAATATTTTGCAACTGTTGGAAGCTTTCTTCGCTGAGATAGGAATTTAGATCCTATTCCTTTAGATCTAAAAGTAATATAATAATTTAATCAGAGCAAAGAAAAGTTTCAACAGTTACAAAATAAACATTCTTCTGAATGCGGTCAATGATTATTTTGACATTATATTTGAAAATTAGATAAAAATACATTGTACAACTACCCCTCGGAGCAAAGCCGGAAGTCCAGTCAAGTTCAATCAAGTTATAGTTATCAATTGCGTCAGCATTATCTTCCATGGACAATAATCACAGGCGATCGTTTGTGCGTCGCAGGGGACTTCCGTTTCGCTTCGATCTTACATTCTCCTTTTTTTTCTTGCTCGTGCCATTACGCGCGGACCATTTGTCTCCCGTGGAACGAACGGTCCATTGTCTCGTAAGTTTTTCGATCGAGGACCGCGCCGGAAATCAGCCATCGAAACCGCGCCCTTACGTCCGCACGCACATATACTGTACACACACACACACACACACACACACACACACGCGCACACACACACACACACACACACACACACACACACACACACACACACACACACACACACACACACATCGCGATGTGTATCTGTCTTATGATCCGATAACTATTTCGGTCAAGACGATCCTCCGAAATAGTCCTTGTCACCAAAGCTCGTGTAAATAACATAATATACTTTTAGATATATATTAGGATATAAATTATGACGGAAGATTGGAATTGGCATCGTCGGTTTCTGGAGCAATTATTTACACTAAATGGGACATATGCTTAGCTGTCGTTAGTGAGTTACATACACAACAGACAAATCTAATTCTCGATGATTCCTATACATGGAGTCATATGAGACGTTATATCCAAATATAACGTCGAGAATCTCGCAGTTAATTAAGTTTGAAGTTATTGGAACACTACGCCAATATTGCATGACTCGCAGACGATCTTAGCAAGATATTATTCCATTTGGAAGGAAATATAGAAAAATAAGAGAGAAATATGATACTCATAGAATCACATAATTTATGCTAATTTAAAAACTGTTATAATGAAAGGGGAAAACAGGAATATGAAAAGAATACAAAGGATAAACGTGAAAATTAAAAACAACATGAAAAAATGTCCTCTTGTATCAAAGTTGTACATATAAAGTTAACGTTAGAGAGTGTTAAAATTAATTAGAGAGTGTTAAAATTTACTTGTATTAAGTAACCAGAAAAGTTCGTTTGATTGAGAATAACAACAATTTATAGTTTATAACAACAATTTCGTAATATAATAATTGATAATTAATGACGCACGAATTATGCAATACCTAAATTGCATTTTAAGATGATTCGATTATGCTAGCTTTATGCTGAACTTTTTTACTCTATTTTAAATATTTAAAAAATTATTTTAGAGTAAAAAACGTTCAGCACTCATAAAGTTAATATAACGTAAGTTAGCGCAAGTACATAGTAATAAACTAATAAATATTTAAAACAGTTAAATAAAAAATGTTAACACTTACAGAGCTAAATAATTAAAATGCAATTGATAAACGAGCGCATTATAAATTAGTTTTCACAAAAGAATTGTTGTAAAAGTATATATATGCTTCTAGCAAACAAATTTTTCTGGTTACTTAATACTAGTAATAAGGCTTGAAACTGTCTTGGTCACTTGTGATGTCTTTCTTATTTTTTGCGCCGATTTAGTCGCATAATTTATACTTTATAGTATATCTGCGTTCATATTCATATAATCTTAATATGTCGCATGAGAGTCGTCACTCGTCCTGATTCCTTATTCACGAATGAAGCTGCATCTGGAGCATAATGGACACGCTGATGGAAGAAGAACAGGCAAGGCATGAAGGGGATGAACATACAGAGACAAAAGCATGAGAGGTAAGAGAGTGATCGAGAGATAATATAAAAGGAGCAAGAGGAACCTGAACGGGTGAAGAGAAAGAAGAAAGGAGGGGAAAGGGATAGAAAAAGACAGAGAGAAAGAAAGAGAGAAGAAGATGGATGAAGGAAGAAAAAGAAGAGAATGTAAAGTCCCGTTGACGGAGATTCGACGAAGCAGCGATGTTTAATCGGTGTTGGCCCGCATCAGGTTGATCGAGGACCCCCCAATCGGGTGTTGGAGGACGACGTGGGCCCGTGACGACGACATAGGGAGGTCCGGAGTAACGCAAGCGGAACCGGGGAGAGGCTGCGCCGTGCCGATCAGGCGAACAATGGAGGCGGGATGCTCATTTGTCTGCGGGCATTGTTGTTCACCCGGCCGGAAACACGAGCCCGTACTCTCCTTTTCCCCTCTCTATCACGCTCTCTGTCTTTGTCTATTTGTGAATATATCTCTCTCTCTCTCTCTCTCTCTCTCTCTCTCTCTCGTCCTCACTCTTTTCCTCTCTCTCTCTTTCTCTCTCTCTCTCTCCCCCCTCTCCCTCTCTTTCTCTCCCCCTCGCCGTTCACCATCCGTGCATCCTCCTCATCGAAGTCCCCTCTTTCCCGCCGTAGCTTTTTCCAGTACGAAAGTACCGCGATGATTCCGCCAATCGTGTCGCTCGACGTCCGCAGGTCGATGGTGCAAAAATTCGGGATAACCGTTTCCACCATGTTCAACCGCGAGTCGACGCACAATGTTGAATGTGTCGGTCTCGTCCGCTGACTTATCGATCGGCGGAAGCTCACATTGAGTCCCGCGATGCGTAATTTACGAGAGATTCCTAAGAAGAAGAGATTTTTTCTCTCTTCTTCTGAAAGAATAGAACAGGACTGAGCTGCTTGTCTAGCATCTAATTTGTACTGTTATAGCACCTAATTTTTCCATTGGTTTGACAGGTAGATCTGTCTAAATCATCAGAGGGTCGCTAAAGGTCGTTTATTAATAACCATTATGGGCTACAATTAGATATATATCTAATAATCTTAACAGGTTCATTAATTTAAATACAAGATGCATAAAGTACGATGATAAAATATTAAAAAATTTAATTGATTTAAATCTTTCGACAAAAGAGATAATGATATTCATGTATATTAACGCAAGCCCTAAGAAATTAGAATTAACCAATCATAATTTATTATTTTTCTCGTATTTAATTGTAATTGGTCAACTTCTTATGATTTATGGCTAATTACGACCATGGAGTGCTTTCCATAGTGACACAAATCGAAACAAACATTGTTCTATTTTTCTTTGCATTTCATGAATAACAAAGACAAGAACGATCAAGGAAAACATCAAGTCAAGAAAAAGT